CGCTTCACACACACATACACACACATACAATCCAAAACTTTAGTCAAGTTGGCTTGAGAAGACCAGCCCTTGGCCAGTAAAAGGAAGAATTGAAGTCTGCCACTCAGAATGAGTCTCCAGGTTTTCAAACTTGGTGTTAATAATAATTTTTGAATCAAGTACCTGAGAAATGCTGAGACTTTAAGAATGAGCAATGTACACACCATCCACTATTATGAGCAGAACGGAAGTGGAAGCCTCAGTGAACCAGTGCAGGGAAAACCCTGTGTTCATACATTCCTCAGCAGTCAGCTAGAGATTAAAAGAGAGAGGAATTGGCATGTACACAGAATGGAGTCGGGTTAAGTTACTGGGCCCAAATTGCTTCACATTCAGTTAAATAAAGGGCTAGGACCAGTGTTCCCTCCAAGCTGAGTTAGTGTGAGCTAGCTCACAGTTTTTTAGCCTCTGGCTCACACATTTCGGTCTCAGCTCAGGAAGGATGGCTCCAGAGCAAACTAATTTATGCAGCAGCCAAATCTCTTGCTCACAACTTTAATGCCACAAGCTCACAAAGTAGAATTTTTGTTCACAGGACTCCACAGCTTAGAGGGATCATTGGCTAGGACTCATCACAGGACTCATTTTCCTTTGCCGTTATCAGCTGTTCTCTGGCAGGTTGTAAAAGCTGGGCAACTTCTGTTTGCTCTGAGTTCCAAAGCAATTGGTTCCAACTCTAAATATAAGGCTACTATAAATGAGGAAGCTGAAGAGAGGATACTTAGTACTTGTTCACAAAGCAGTATGCAGAACGGTTGGCAAAATTGAGGCCTCACCACCTTTGCCTCCATGCAGTCTCTTCTGGGCTTTCCAGCCAATTCAGATCAGCTGGATTTTCAAGGAATTATAACAGGTTTAATGGTGAATGGTTTCCCAATATTGGCTTTAAGATGTTAAAAGATATTGGGTTTGGATCAAGTTTTTGGCTTTAAGATGTTAAAAGATATTGGGTTTGGATCAAGTTTTCTCCCAATAGAGATTTTCTTCCGCAGAAGCCTTTCTCCATTGGAAGAAGACAAAGTGGGAAGTCATAGGATCCAGCCTCTTGATTCTAGCTTGCTTAATTTATTCATTTCTTGCATTTTATGCAGCAGAGTAGGGGATTTGAACCTGGGTCTCACAGATTGTAGTCCCAAATTTAACCATTACACAAGGCAGGAGATACCAGACTAATTGGGGCTGTCTCATGCAGGCATCGATCACATCTAGATGTGCTCAGAATTCTACATGGCGATAAAAAAGTAGTGTGTCTTTGTGCCCTATTCCACAAGGGAATGGTGTCGCTCAGAATTCAGGGTTACTACAATTTGGACTTCTTTCCATGTTTCTGGAATCTTCTGAAATCTCATTAAAGAGCGTTGTAAGGAGGGTGAACAGTTCACCACTGTATATTTTATGAAACCTTCCAGGTAGACCATCCTACCCTGGGGGTTTCTTGTTTAAACGTGATTTAATGACCTTTGCCACTGCTGTTTGGCTGACCTGGTGGTTTGACAAGTTTTTGTATTCCTCTCAGAGAAATGTAGTGATTTTTTCAATGTCTTCCCTACATTGCTTGTCAGGTGTATAAACTGAAATAAAGTTTGACTTTATTCATGCCTTTGAAATGTCCTCAACCTTGGTTAAGCTCACACTGCTTCAGAATTCTTCTAGCTGAATCTGCTTAGGTAGTGATTT